AATGCCTGGTACTGAGCATTATGGGCCAGTATTTTTCATTCATATCTTACCTATTTCAAAACATGCATTAGCACCTCTGTCCAGAAGAAGACGCACTACTGCAAAATCAGCCACACTGGCAGCACACATCAGGGGAGTCCATCCAAACTGAAAGCTAGATTCTATGCTTATACCTGTCAAAATATAAGATACTAAAGTAATAAAATCGCACCACAATAAGCCTTACTCTTAGTATGTATCATTACAAAAGCTACATACACTGAGTTTAGTCCTAGGGAGAGAAGTCCCATACCATTTTAATTTTTTTAATACACTTTTATCTAGAATACCAGAAAACAACTTCTAGAACTGACACCAAGAATCCAAGAAGTTAAGTATCACAGAAAGAGAACATTCAAAAAATTTAAGTAATATACTTAGCTGCAAAAATAATTTCAGAGAAGTGCACAGAATCTCTGTTTTCTCCATTTATGTCCAATAGCTTTCCTCAATTAAAAAGAAAAGTTTTGATTCTTGCCAAGCCAAGTGGACTGCTGTGGAAGCAACTTGCTTATCAGGCTATTAAGATCATATTGACTAGGGTTTTCCTGCTTCACAGATACTTTTACTCTCTGTCTTGCAATACAGTTAACTAGCAGGTACCAGTTTTGTGTTCAGTACTAACGAAATATTATCTCAATAGAAAGAAGAAACAGAAGATTATGCAAGACTCAGTGACAATCACCAGATCTGTCTGTTGCTCTTTATAATAACCATATCTTCCTTTGTGGCTAGAAGTAAGCTTGCCAGATGGCCCTCCCAAATTCACCAAGAACCAAGTACTAGACTGATATACTCATCCAACAACTTTCAAATAAAAATCTCTATACATTTTTGCAGTAAGAGAAACCATCTTTCCTTCAAATGTGTTCCTGGTCTATCTGAAAGAATGGACCCAACTGTTGCTAAGAAATCCACTTCCAACACAAACCGAGTTTGGTCAAGTGCTGGTAGCGAGCCTCCTACAAGCTCTGCTGAGCACAGACTAAAGGCGACTCTGGAGGCAAAGATTTAATCTGACTGAACACCGATCCTCTGAAGGACAATGTTAACTTTCTTCAGAAACACCTCCTTGTTACAGAGGCATTGTGTTCTCCTGCTTTGCAGGGACAGTACTAGATGGGTCAAAATCTGCTGTTAATCATATTTTCAGGAAATGATAGATTCTTTTGTGATACTGCCTTGTGTATTTCAGGGGACCCGACACTAGACTACAGGAATCTCAGGCCTTACACTTACAGATACATATCATCATCTTCCAACAGCACAGAACTGCTCATTATGTAGCAGGCATCAACATGGAAAGTGAACTGTTGCTGTCTGGCTGAAATACAAGCAATTAAAAATGGATGGCTCTAACAAAACTATTAAGCAATGTAATGCACAGACATCACTAAAAACTCTACCTAGAAATAAGAATGTATTTTCTCAAAGCAAGACAGAGGATGTATTTCACTCAGTATTACACCTCTGTTTCAGTCTGTGCAATAGTTTCTACTTAATTTAAAAAGAAAACCTTTCCCCTACCATGGTGAGAAACAACAGTCTTCTAAAAGGGCAAGTAATGTCATTGTTTTAGAACTCAGAAAAATCCATTGCTAACTAGGGAACTACTTTCTTCCAGCCTAAGACAGATTTCCCTTTGAGAACAAGCTCTTGGCTACTATATTCTGCTTGCTTGCCGAAGCAGAACTTTCTGACAATTATCACTAGGCAGGTCAGTTTAGCTATGCAGTTTTTGATTGCCCTGGATGTTTCAATAAGTGATCCAATCCTCCCAACACTGAATAACAGAAACACATTACAGACAAATACTGAGTAACAGAACAACGAGAAAGGCTTTTCGTGTTAAGACAAACTACTTTTTAGTGACAAATGCCACAGAAACCTTATTAGACCTTTCAGAACCACAAAATCTTTGTCCAGCTGATGTTGCCAGGACAGCAGTATTACACAGGGCACATACCACAAACTTAACAGTGCTGCGAGTGAGGAAAATAAAAATATGGAATTTCCAAACTGGGAGAGTATTAAACTAAAAGCCAGCCTCCCCTTTCTGCCCACTCCACAGCAACATTCAACACCAAAGTAAGACCACCCACTTAATTCTCACTCTCAATTTAAACCACCTCAAATTCAGTGTTTGTAATTTTCAGGTTAAAGATGCATTTGAAAACAAAGAAACACCATATTTCATAGTTCATACATTATAGTTTCCTCAATTTTCAAGGCTTATGAGTGACAACAGAAATATAAATTAGAACGAATTTGCTGGAATACTGCATGCTGAGTCACTGAAAAAGTAATTTCATATTTAAAATAAAAGTTTATATCCTGTATTGGAAAATTCCACATATTCCTACATACACTTGACACATTATTTTGAAACAAGAAACTTTGGAGTTTTAGAATTCTTGACAAATTAAATTAAAAATATTCAACTTCATAATTGACTCCTCACCAGAGTTTAAGAGCTCTTCAACTAATGACACATCACCACGAAACAGAGCCTTCTTCAATGCCTCATTCTTGTCCGCCTGCAACATTTGATCCAATTGCTAGATAAGCAAAGAAAAGTTAAGTCAAAACCTTATAACTGTTTCAAGGTAAAAACTACAGTTTGATTTCAGTATACAAGCACTTAATAATCTCTGTAAGGACAAAGATCCCTCCAGGAGGATGGGGGGAGCAAGGTAAAACTTTCCTTCTTCCATCTCTGTAGACCTGCTTAGGGGCTAGTATAAAACATAAGTTTTAAAGTTAACTTTTCAGAAAGGTTCCAGTCTCTGAAAATGTAAATATCTTCGTTCTCAACAGACCTGCTATCCTCCTATGCTGCTCTCAGCTTTTCTTAATGGTATCTGATTTCAGTTAAGATTCTTTTTCATCTTTTGGCACTAGAGAAATGCTGCAACACATATCTGTACCTTTTTTTGTACATTTCATATGTTGCAAAGCACAGCATCAAAAATAGGTATCTATCAGGCATTAAAGCTAGAGTCTGGGGCAATGTAGCTCAACGACTAGCTGTCTGGCTTGATGCCGCACAAATCCACTGCTGGAAAGGGTTACGGTTCCTCTTTCCTCCTACTCCTGTGGTGGCAGATGCTCCACAAGCTATGTGAAAAGTGCCCTGACCAAAAGCCTAGTTCACTCGTAAGACAGTTGCTTGATTCAAGTCCCTTTCAAAAGCATCACAAATTTGTTCTCTATTAAAGCTGCAGATGCAGCTGCAGATTGCTGTTGGCGATATCAAGATTATACAAAACACTTACACACACTGGTAAGTAGAGGACTATTCACTAGTTTCTTCGCAAACAGAAGTGGATACAGAAAGAAGGGAAGTTGTATTTCATGATAACTTTTGAAGTCATAACATGGTAACTCCTAATGATACAATTTTCCTCAGCACACTGTACTACCTTTCCAACAGCTTTTGTAAGATTTTACTAAGTGCATAGTGTCTGGAGAACCAAAGGTGGGAAACAGCCAACGGAATAACTTAGCCCGATTTTTGTTCTACTCAGCCAATAATTTCCAAATAATGCATGTCTTTGGACACGACCATCAATTTAAAGATCAAAAACTGACTATAACCCTTAGCAAGAGTACTGCAAGTAGTCAGTTACTTCACTTTCCAGCGCTAGACATGAAACAGCAACAGCTGAGAAGCCCTGCAGAATCTCCCTCCACCTCATGCTCTCGGATCACTCACACCTATTAGACACAATAAAATCACTTAAATCTTCCTGTCAGCAAGGAAGAGTCTCGGAAATTTAAGACAGAGAACAGCTTTATAGGCTCTAGTTGGCTTCAAAATTCTTTTCATGTTGAATCAGGGACTCGGGTGTGTTGTTAAGGGGTAGAAAAGTGTTTAAATAAATATTAAGGTTTCACGTAAGAAGATAAACCTCCGAAATTTAGGTTTTCACAGAATCACAGAATGTTAGGGAT